GACACAGTTGACAAGATCACCGCTGGACAAAAGGTCATCGTCTCACAACAACGAAGGATCCACCTTACACAAGTATCCAATCAACGAACCATTGAAAACCACGTAAATAAAAACATCCAAACACTGTCACGTGAGAACAGTTTGATTGACAGGAACCACGCCCAGTTGACGTCAATGACACACAGCATCAACAACAAACTTGGTGAGCGATTTTTATCAATATTTTGAAAGTTGAAAATAGCCTACTTTCGATGTTATGGTTGAGCGGTCATGAACAAAAGAAATGAAAACGAGGCTCAGTGGAAACAAAACGATTATCTATTGTCTTCTCCGATTCTCGTCTTCAGCTGTTGACCATTTAACTAGAACATAAGTGGGTTATTTTTTTAGGAATAATAGGAGGCATATAAGTCAAACTTCGCACGAAGATCAGTTGTTTACATGCTCTTTTTGTGTAAATGTTACTTGCGGAAATCCTTACCGAAATAAAGCATGCGCACTTTTCCACTAATATAATCTTGTCAACCCTTAAATTGATTATTGTTTGGATCTGTTAGGTTTTGTCAGGGACTGAGGTGTTTATATCAAGAAGTATACTTCATTAAAACATTTATGCTTCTTCAATCTCAGAAACTGCGACAAACCTTCTAAAAAAACAGGAAAAAAACCTGAAAGACAGCCATGTTGATATCCTTCACGATTTGAACGACATCCGAGTCAAAGCACAAGACGTCTGGAGTAAACTCAGTATGTAATATCTCTGTAATATCTCGCTATCATAGCGTATTCATCATTCTTATCAGGCTAGCATCTTTGAGGCATCTACTAGGTACAATGACCTAGGAGTCTTTCTCTGTATATCATTATCTTTTTTGGGGGGGTGTAAAGCCATTTTCCAGTCATTATGACATACCAGGAAGACAACACTGATTAGTAGGAGCTAGAAGCATTTCATAGTAACGGTAGACACTCCAACAGATTCGTTACAAGTTTATTGATCCACTAAATGTTCATATCACAAATAACTCCATCCAATAATTTTCTCGATAATCATTTAGATGACAGCGCAAGTCACATGCTGCAAAATCGGAAAGAATCCGCTGACCATTACAAAGATACCATAGAAAACTTGATGCGAATCAACAAGACGATCAGCTATCTTCTTGAAGCCATCCAGTCAACACAATCACAACTAGACGATAGAATCACGTGGTTGGCAAGTCAGTTTGGTGCGACTGGTTACCAGATCTCTACAATGGTCACGATTGTAATGCATGCTGGGTATTTTCTTGTTGCTACGTATGGTATAGTGTTTGTCCAGGCTCCTGTCGTTACCAGGGTAACAGTGGTTCTTGTTGTCCCRGGTAACGCTTTGTGTCAAATTAATCATGGTTGGTCGATGACATTCTCTCAACTGACAGCTGTACTGGTTACTGTTCTRGTTGGTAAGTTATGATGAATAATATTAGTTTGAAATCATCACTATGATTATGATC